GAATGGTAATTTATAATCAGTCACAAGAACGTCGAATCTGAATCACTTGAAAAAAACAACGGGGGTGCTTAACTTTTTTCCAGGTGTATATATATATATCTTTTACATTCTAGGTATACTTTAGGGATAAAACCAATAGATGTGATCCTGCCCTCACACCTGACAATTGCCTGCTCTCCCTATTTGTGGTAACCTGTTGCACAGTCTATTAATTTGGGACTATATGCAGATGTGATGATTCCTGTTTGGTCTGAGCACCTCTCTGGTATTCTTCCCTATGCATGTTCCTCCTTTCCATTTTCTTTTAGTGGAGTAAAGAGAGAACCAGTAGCTTCCCAAAGCTTTAGCCACACTACACATCCATGCTCTGCTGACTGCCTGAGATATAAAAGTCAGTTGAGCAAGCTTTACATTCTGCCCATTTATGCAACACTAGAACTATACAGGAGGTTCTTTTTTGATAACTTTTGCTCTATCACCTTTATTGGATGAAATGTATTCCCTACATGAGATGGAGCCTCTCACCCCACTAGGCCTCACTACTTCCTAATTTGTGGGTGACATGCTTCATGAGGTTTCCTTTTCTGGTGCCATATATAACTTCATAAAGGAGCTCATATTTTAATTTTTTTTTTTTATCTAAACCAATCCTTCCACCATGTTATCAATGTGGAATTCTAGCTATTAGGTGTGTAGAGAGGTTAGTGGAGTTTCTAAAGTTAACATTTTCCTTACCTGTAAATGTATTTCAGATAGATACTCATCTCTACATATAACCTCCCACCCTTCCTTCCCACTTCTGGTATGCTTTTGTTGCCTCATCAGGAATGTGTCTTTTGTTACAGTGCAAATGCTTTTGGGGTCAAGTGTGCATGGAGTGCGTGTTGCCCTCCTATTGTTGTAGGGTTATAGTATAATGCTCATTGCATGATAGACTGGCATAATACATGTTAATAAGTAAGGGGTGAGAGTTCCATTTAAGGCTTGACATGTTCTCAAAAATCTTTTCAACAGTGGTGTGAGGTAATAGCTTTCAGTTCTATGAAGATGTGAATATATATTTGAAATACATTTTCAGGTAAAAAAATTTTTAATCTTTTTTTTATATCATACAACAAAATATAATTTTTGTAGGTTGAAAATACTTTAACAAATTTCCATTACTTTATAACCTATTTTCCTTTTGAAGCTAACACTTCTTACTTAAATGCTTCTTGTGCTCATAACAGTTGGATAAGCAAAAGTTACTGTAGCACCATGGATGAATAAAATGCAGTTACAGCAATAAAAAAATTACCAAGGAGGCTAGAGAATTTGAAAGAATGGTATATTCTGTTTTGTAGATACTGACTATCATTCAATATTGCAGCAGGTGGAAAATCTTAATATTGTTATTTTTTTTTGGTATGATAACATGCTGATAGGTGTTCTCAGTTTCACACTCATAATATTTAACCTTTTTTATTCATTTCAGGGTTTTTAAGAAGAGCTCACCAAATGGGAAGGTAAGTGGTAATAGAAAAGTATTTTTTTATGAGTTGTGTGCAAATTAGTTTGTTTAAAATGTTCACATATGACGTAAATTGAAACTTGATACTTGAATTTTTTTAACAGTTCTGTGGTCCAAGATAGTTTTTCCGATCAACCATTCCTAAATACAATATAAAAATCTAAATTTGTTTTTAATAAAATGGTATATTCAGGTACTTTTGTTCTCAAAGTTAGGTGTGTTTGCTACCTCAAAAGAAAGCTGGAACAGGCAGTGAAAATAAAAGGATATTTTAGTAGAAATATGATGGAATATGTTTTATCGTAAATATTTTAGACATTTCTAATTTCTTGTTCTCTAGTTCATTTATCATTACTTAAGCTAACCAAACTCTTTCATCTTTTAAAATTGTTGAAGTGTATGCTTTAGTTAATTTTTTCTTCTTTTAAGATTACTGTGTACCTAGGGAAAAGGGACTTTGTTGACCACTTTACTTATGTTGAACCAATAGGTAAGCATATATGTATGTGTAAAAAGGTTTTGCTATGGGCTAAAATTTAAAAAAGAAAAAAAAGATTATTTCTGAATACAGTTAGTGACATGTGTGATGTGTACTTCAAAAGGACCACAACAAAGAATTGATTTACAACTGTGTTCATTTATAACTGCACATTATGTAGTCACTCTTTAATATAAATTCTCTTGGTGTTTTTCAATTTAAGTTGTTCTCAAAGGTTAAAAAAAAACATAACTTATGTAGCAGTACCCTCCTCTAAAAATGGAGAACTTAGGCAGACTTATCAAACACAACTACCTGATGCATACCTTAGACTAAAAAGAGGGCTCTTATTAATTACAGCAAAGTTGATAAGTGGAAATTTGTTGTCTGTTCTAATCCACCATAAAAGAAATGCCACAAATTAGTATTTCTAGTGCTTCCTAGTAAAATACCTGCTCACCCCTCATTTTACACAGATCTGCCTGACCAAAGCTTGTTGGAAACCCCACACTGTATATTTCAAGGTAATGGTTTAATCAAGCAATCCACTTATCAACCTGTTTTATCATGTCCTAAAGATAAACATAAAAGGAAAACCTAACATACCAAAGCTTGACAAGAAATAAAGTCATCTATTTTCTGAAATTAGAAGAATGTAACTGCAGGTGCAAGTCACTAGTGGACAGCAGAAAGAGATCAATAGTCAGATCTCTACAAACCATATAAGTTGAGACATAATCATAAATTCAAAGCAGAGAATTATGCATAAATTGATAAGTCCAATGATAAGGAAATGACCATCAAACTTCCTGTGTTGTCAATCTTTATATCTTGAATATCCAAGTTTTGAGAAAGGAGAAGAATCAAGGAGACCATGATTGGATGAAGACATTAATGAATAATTAATGGCTAATTTATGTTATCGGCCAACATTTGTTTTTTACCTAGTAAAGATTAATACTTCACAAACTAACTGTATCAGTGTTGGACTGAGTATTTAGGGTTTAAACTGATTGATATTTAGAGGAAGTGTAATAGGAATAATGACTTTTCTCTAGGTTGTGTAGTCTTACAGAAAGACTTAATCCTTTATAGAAATGGCAATTATATTAGTATTCTTCATTTGTGTTTCATTATTTTACAAGTTATAAGGAATTATAGTTATATTTACCCATTTTTAGAGAAGAGATAATCTTGGGTTTTATCCTTGATTTTTTAAAGTATTTTTGTTTGTTTTATTTTAGCAAATTAATTTAATTTTTATATTTTATGGCTTTATATTTTTTGTAGATGGAGTGGTTCTGGTAGATCCAGAATATGTGAAAGATCGACGAGTTTTTGGCCATGTTCTTGCTGCATTTCGCTATGGTCATGAAGACTTAGATGTTTTTGGGTTGATATTTCGAAAAGATCTGTATCTTGCATCAGATCAGCTCTATCCTCCCTTGTCTAACCCTGACAAAACGCGATCGTTGACACGTATTCAGGAACGACTTCTCAAGAAACTGGGGCCAAATGCACATCCATTTTATTTTGAGGTATTATGAAAATGTAGGCTTGTAGATAATTTGACCAATTTTTCTGCCATTCATTTTCACGTAACCTAAATATGTCTATATGTATAAATGTTAGGCATCACACTTCTTGTTTGTACACAGGGGTACCCGTATATGAGAGTTTGTTTTGTTTTCAAAATATTAATTTTGAATTTGTTTTTAACCTTCATATTGTTAACTTTATATGTATTGACCTTAATTTTTCAAATAAGCTAAATTTTGGCTAACTTTAGGAATAAAAATTCTAATCATTAATAATTCAGTATAACTTTCTTTGTCAGTGTGATTTGCATAATTAGTTGTAATCATATGAATGTCAGACGGTGCTATCTTGTTTACTGGGGGGTCTTAACTTCTTATAACCAGGTCATATCAACAAAATTGCTCCTCAGTGCAATTACAATAATTATATTTTCACTTGTACCAAATGAAACTTTAGCATTTTGTGGCACAATATTTATCTTGGAATGTATTACCATAAGGTGTTTTTTATTTTCATGTGTGTGACACACTGGAGATCACTAATAATGACATTAGTTCCAAGGTTTCCATGGCAGATATTGTTATTTGGTCTTCTTTTTTTGTCTATTCATGTAACGTCAGCTTCCCCCTCATTGCCCGGCATCAGTCACACTACAGCCTGCAATAGGTGACACTGAAAAACCATGTGGTGTTGACTATGAACTGAAAGCTTATATTGCAAATACAACTGAGGAAAAAACTCATAAAAGGTAATTTGAGTTTGTCTGTGTTTTAGTTTAAGTTTTCAGTGCAAATGTATTAATTTCCAACATTAACATGATTGATTTGTAAAATTATCCCTTATGTCAATGCATGTTATTATTGTTGTTTCATGATTGAACACCATGTCATTATTTTAACTATGTTTCGCACTTTAAACATTGTTTTCTTTCTTAGTAAGTATCTGAAATACTAATGAAATATATTTTGCATTAGATACACATGAAATAAAGTACTATATATATACTTTGCTTGGCTAGTTCAAAAATTTTGGATAACATTGAAAACATTATCTATGAATTAAAGTATTTCTTTGTAAAACTGTGCCTATTGAATTTTTAAAATATAGAGTTATTTAATATTTTTCTTTAAGAAGAATTATTAGATGTCTTTGCAGGAACATATTTATGATGTGCAAATAGAACTTCCAGTAAATGTATAACATTAAAGCACCTTCAAAATTACTTTACTAAAATTTGGACCTGTGCTGAGTGTAAGATAACACATCATACACAGTTTTAACTATCACTTTTTGTTTCCGAAACGATATCTTTCCTCCATTCTCAAAAATCCTTCTCAATTAGTACTGCCTCTATCAGCACAAATATTTCGCTTTCTACTGGTTTTGTAGCTCTCTCTTCTTTCTGCATATCTACATGCAAATGATCATGTGGCAACTATCACTCCTTGTTTCCGAAACGATATTTTTCCTCCATTCTCAAAAATCCTTCTCAATTAGTACTGCCTCTATCGGCACAAATATTTCGCTTTCTACTGGTTTTGTAGCTCTCTCTTCTTTCTGCATATCTACATGCAAATGATCATGTGGCAACCCTCCACCAATAGAAGTGCAATACTACCCCTATCATAACTATCTCTAATAATGCACCTGTTAATCACTTCTTGATTGGCAGTCTTACTGTGCAGACATCTTTGTTTTCACTTGTGATTTAGTTATTATATACATACAATATTACTTATGAGTATTTTCTAATTTAGTTAATGCCGTTTTTCCCTTTTTTTTGTGGAGAGCTGCAATTTAAATTTCATTATCTACTCTCCCTTTCCTAAATTTTGTTCCTGTTTCTGACATTGTGAGCTTTGCACTCACAGTTTCAGGTGGCCACGACTACCACTGCTGTTGCTGCTACAGCAGATTTCCTGACCACATTTGTGGGGTTGATAACGCAGTTGTCAGCTGTGGGTGTGTCGACTATGATCCATAGGGAATTGTACCATTTCTGGCAACATTCTGTATAACCTGATTAGTAGCCTGTCATACCAGCACCTGAGTGTGTCTGAATGGGTTGATGTGAAAAAGGGCAGTTCGAGGATCTTACCTAAATCTCCTTCTCCCTTTTCTTTCTGTTTCCTTGGATTTTACCCATGCTCTCACTGGAGATTAAGCTTTGAGTCATTCTTTGGTTTTCCTCCTTACCTGGATATTGGGGTTCATGCTCATTGTTTTGGAGTACATTTGCATTCTGGGTTGATATGCCCTGTCCCCAAAATATGGGTTTGGACCCTGATACTTCAGTTGTTTTTCCCTACCTTGGAACTTTCCCATTCTCTTCTTTCATTAACCATTGTTATCTATTCATTATCCTACCTTCACTTTTTGGTTGGGACAGTTCTTCAGTTTCATTATTTGTTTTACATTGGTCATATTAGTCTCGTTTTTGCTGCTATGGCACACATTTCCTCTTCGAACTTCACTTTAGAGACGTGGCTGCTCTGATGTTAGGTTCTTCTAGGCTGGGATCCTGTTTTCTTGAGAGTTTGTTTACTCTCCTTTTCATTGCATGCATTGTGCATGGCACCTTTGTTTTTATCAGAAGGTGTTAGGGTGTCTTCCTGCCTATTTTGTGACTGGGGTTGTTTCAGCAAGTCTCCATAACTCCATTTCCAATCGTCCCCCAGTTGTCTTACCATTTACTTGACTTAACTCCTCAGCCAGATCCTGTTACTTCTCATTGTCATTCAAAGGTGGCTTGGGACTTACTTCTCCAGGGTGCCTTCTGTGAGGATATAATTCTCGTTTGGGGTTTTTACTCCTGATTTATGGATGACTTTGGTTGATGTGTCAGATATTCCCGTCTCCCCAGCAACCAGACATTTTCTTCATTTTGTTCTTCACAGGTGTATGTTTTCAGTTTAGGGTGTTATGCTTGGCCTTGCCTTGGCTTTGTGTGTGTTCTGCCAAGTAGCCTAAACTTTTGCTCAACTACTTCCTTCTCTGGACCATAGTGTACACCTTTCCAGGAACAGCTTACTACTTATAGCTTCCTCACTGGCCAATTCTGCCCTCTATACTCAGTTTCTTCTTCAGGAAGCTGCCTGGGAGGGTTGGCTTATATCACCTGATCATTTTCTGGTTTTCTTGGTGTGTTTTTTCATCTCAATTCTTTGTAAGGACCAGCCTTCTCCTCATTGGGTTTAGAGCTTGGTACATCCTTTAGGTGGCATCTCATCTTCTCCCTTTCCTTCTTGCATCTTGCTTCTTCTATCTCTTTTGAGGACATGGGTTTTTCTCACAGCTCTCATTCCTCTTGGTCTCGCCAACATGCACCATCCTCTGTGGGTTTTGGTCACCTGATGCTGCCTTGTTTGGGGTCCCTTGAATGTTCCACTTATCTTTTCCCCTCACTAACAGTCTGAATTGACTATTGGTTGGATAGAACCACTTTTGCAGAGGGGGGTTCTCTTCCTTATCATCATCCAGTTTATCACCTTTTTACTGATGTTTCTCTTTTTGTTTGGGGAGTATCTCTCTCTCTCTTGACACTTCTAGCTGTTTATCGGACAGTACTTTCCTTCCTACTGGCTCTTGGGGACCAGGTGATGATGTTTTGCTCCAACAGTTCTATGGTAGGGTGAAAAAACAAAGATACAGTGGAAATATATCAAAGCCACTGATAAATATATCTAAACTATATGTTAGATTATATCAGTGAAACTCTGGAGTGTATTGTTTCACACTTTAAAACAAAGATACAGTGGAAATATATCAAGGCCACTGATAAATATATCTAAACTATATGTTAGATTATATCAGTGAAACTCTGGAGTGTATTGTTTCACACTTTAAAAGTTTAGTGAATGCTAATTTGATAAACTTCTAAAGCATTAAACACTAGAATAATATAAGCACATCTACTTTTAATAACAACACTAATGAAAAATTACCAATTTAGTATCTTTTTCTTTAAACAACTATTAATGCATAACTTTGAAAGAATTATTTTATAGAAATCTGATTACTTCCTCAAGGAACTCTGTGAGGCTAACTATACGAAAGGTGATGTATGCACCAAGCAAACAAGGAGAACAGCCAAATGTTGAAGTCAGTAAAGAATTTATGATGTCCCCTAACAAACTACATCTAGAAACATCACTGGACAAAGAGGTTTGCTTTCATCATTATTTATACAGTATTTTATTAGGATGTGAACTTTAACATAAGAAAATATATTAAATTTCTTAAAACCTTCAATTTGTTATCTGGAAGAAGAAAATGCTTACCATACATCTTCACTTATGAGATTTTTATGTTTTATAATTGTGAGAAAACATTGTTGGGTTCAGCTTAAACTGAAAATGTTTTCTTTATTACTTAATAAAAACAACAACATTGGTTTACTTTTTGCTAATTTTTTTGTTTTTCATTTAGGAAAAATTAAATAATTTAAATTTTCCTCTTTTAAAAACACGTTTAGTTTCTAACTGTAGTTGAACAGATGAAGATGTTGGATTTTGTAAATTTTTATCACCTTCAATTTTGTAAGGATTTGTTGCAATTTTTACAGCTCTATCATCATGGAGAAGAAATTGCAGTCAATGTTCACATAGCTAACAATTCAAATAGGACAGTAAAAAAGGTAAAAGTATCAGGTTGGTATAATTATCTTTTGATCTTCATCCATTTGCTTTGTTTATCCTGAAATTCCAAGTATACTAGATCTTCACCTGAAATTTTTCAAAACTTTCATGTATGCAAGTGTATATAAGTTTGAAGTAGAACATTGGGCAATGAAGTGGCTAAGTTCCTTTAACTCTAGTTATCTATTATTCTGAGTCATTTTCCTTGAGTATCACTCATGCCTTCTCATGGGAAAGATTGCTGTAAAGTAGAATGCACTATGTGAAGATGGTCAGCAATATTTTCCACTACTGGGTCAGGTGATACGTTGAGGATACATCCTCTTATTTTCTAAATGGAGTGACTGATAGTGATGTATGTAGTGCACATGCCCTTAGAAGTATAGTATGCTTTAGAACTATGTATATATTATGTTTTTTCAATAATGTTCTGATTATGTATTCAAGACTATTATTTGCTTTACTTTTTTTTTATTAAGAATGTTATACTGGTTTTAATTTGATATGTTTTAGTTCTTCAGTTTGCTGATATCTGCCTGTTTTCTACGGCACAGTATAAGTGCAATGTAGCATCATTGGAGAGTGAGTGAGTAAATTAATTTGAGTTTTCTCTAATATCATTATTATAACAATGCAATCTAAATTTTTTTAAAAGTAACCATTCTTGATTAAACTATCTGATATCAAGTTATGATTGGAACTTGAGTAATTCTAATGTTATTTTCTGCAATTTTTTCTAATGGCATTTGAAAAATGCAAATAATTAGTTTTACCTTACAATCAACAGTGTGTGTTCCTATCTTTTGTAAAAACAAGTTTTCTATATTAAGTCATAAACAAGTTAAATGAATTTATTTTCGTAAAATATGAAGTTTAACAGCCTTATATCATTGTCATTTGGTGTTTGTCTGCCTTATATCTTACAAACTACACCACTCACTTCAATATGTTGATCTCTTCAGTGTGCATCATATTAATACTATAGTGTAATGTTTTTCATGAAATAATACTGACTTTAAACCTTGTAGAGATGGTTGTCCTGTGGGGCCTGGGTTTACATTATCTAAAGTATACTATTTGAAGCCTCTGCTAGCTAATAACAAAGACAAACGTGGTCTAGCATTGGATGGACAGTTAAAAGATGAGGACACAAATCTAGCTTCTTCCACCATGTAAGTCGGAAATATTTCTTTAAGTAATACATTTGTACATTTTCATTTACCACTATTTTTACATGTACTTGAAAAAGACTGTACATATAATTTAACCGTAGTCTCAATCATTTTTTTTTCCACTTACGTAGACTGTAGTCAATCTGTTGAACAACTGTGATCTGGTTCTTCACCTTTCTTTCTCAGATATCACTTGCTAAAGCAAAACAATGCCAGAGTTCACTAGAGACTCACTCCACTTATTAGCAATATTCTCCTTTATGTTCATATACAATAGGGATTCCTCTAGTATATGTCAGTTGCAGAGAACTATCTTTTTAACAAAGATCTTACTTTCCATATGTATTTGCTTTTGAGCTATGCTGTTTGACATCCTTTTGTTGTACTTTTTTTCTCAAGTTTTCTTATGATATTATATGACCTTAAGTTAGTTCAGTTTGTTTTCACATCTTATGAACTTATATTTCATATCATGGAAGTCTGTCTCTTCTGTTTACCTCTCTGTCTGTTATTCAGACAGCTGTTCAGAAGAACTTGCTTTTTGGTATCTAGTAAAGTTTTCATGTGAGTGCAATTGATCCTCATTATCTTTTAGTTTCTGTTTTTTACTTTATTGTACTTTAACCCTAAATAAAGTTATATGAGTGGTTCAAATTTTAATAATATGAACCTTAACAGAGGTCATTTTTATTTTTCTAACAGTTAGATGTTAATCAGCTTTTTAGTCCCACTTCAGTGGTTTTATCCTATTCCTTTATGACCATTACAGTTACTGTTGTTCTAACTGATTTATGTACTGTTTTTCGTGAATGTCATTTTGAAATATTGCTCTCTCTCTTAGTATTACACTTGTATGTTATGCAGGACATTGTAGTTCAAGTATTAAGTACACCCAAAAAGTTTTTATTAATCTTTTTCTACACTCTTCATTAGATTTTCTGCTGTTTCAACTGATTCATACATTTATTTGGAGGTACAGTTTGTAGGTTTTATATTTTTGGACTGAGACTTCCTGTTCTTCATCTGTTATTTTCATTCCAAAAGGTTTTATCAAAGTATTTGCCATTTAATGAGCATTCATTTCTTATCTTTTTATTTCCATTATTTTCGGTGACTCAGCTGAATTGAGTTGTCTCTCCTTTCTTTTCTTTTTGTTTTATGGACATTTTTCTTTTTTTCTATTACAAAAGTTATATTTGGCTCCTCTTCATCAACAATGTTCAGAAGTCATGTTTCTTGGAGAGCGAGGAAGTGACCTTTTATCTGAATTCCATGACATTTTCACCCTGGCAATTTCTAACTAGTCTTTTTTTTTATCCCCAGTTCTCACCCAGAAGTTTCAAGCCCCTTCCCTTTCAGCCCCTCCTCTTTAGCTATGGATGTTTTTTTCCTTCCTTAGCATTTTCTTGAATATCCTAGCTCCTCAAACTACAATTTTTTAGGTTACACATATTTTTTTCTCCCTTGCTTTTATGATACAGAGATTGGGTTGACTTGTTGACTTTTTTCAAGCTTTTTATTTAGACCTAGTTGTCCATTTCATTGGATCAAGAAGTTTCCAGCACACTGACAAAGAAAGCCATTGAGATAGTTGTGGATGATTTTCCATAGGAAGATTTGAAACATGTTACAATTCATTACCATGTAAATCAGTTCTTGACTATTCCATGCTTCATGCTTGAGGATTTTTAGAAACTGTCTTATTGACATTCTCTTTCCTGCTGGTTCTGAATATTAAAAATAAACATTTCAAATATATGTCTTCTTATCCATTTTCACATGAATTCACAGATATTTCTCTGTTTTGCCATCAGCTAATTTTTGCTGAATATAGGATCTCCTTGTTCATTAGACTCAGCTAACACTATATCTAGCTTCTTGATTTCCTGAGTAAATAATTTGCCCAAGTCTTGCCTTTGCCCTTATCAGTTTCTTATCCATTAAACACTACCAGTTGCAAAAAAACAAATAGAATAAGAAGCTTTTGTGAATGCACTCTATTATTTCAAGAGTGACTCAACTAATATCCAAACTGGCTTTATGGTTGTCTAGTTAATAAAGTTTTTCCAAACTTCACTAGTGTCATATATGATTTTGTTATTTATCTGGAAGATATTTTAATCCCTCCTCATACCTACTGGTTTCAAATACTACAAATTTTATAGCCAATATAAAAGTAAGTAAGCTGCTTAGTGAGATTTGTGTATTTCACATTGCCTTAACAGGTTTCGTAATAATCTGGTTTTTCTGATACAATATCCTACCTTCCCTCACAAATAGCTTTTCTTGACTTATACTTCCCTCCATATGCACAAATGTTTGCTCCTCACTGACCTTGATACTACTACCTACCCTCACATGTATTCACATGAGACATCTGCATACTATCATGCAAATGATCATGCAGCAACCCTCCACCAATAGGAGTGCAATGCAACTCCTATCATCACAATTGTGCACTATCTTCCATGCAGCCAGTAATCACTTCTAGATTGTCAGCCCTACTGTTAGGACATGTTCTCACTCATGCTTTCCTACTGATTGTTTCTTTTTTCGACTTTCTGTTTATTAATTGTGTCTTCGTTTTTTCATTTACTTGTTCATTAATTTTTTTTGCTAATGGTTTGAGTGTTATTCCACACAGGTATTTTTTTTTCTGTGTTTTTCAAATCATTTTAGCCTCCCAGTATCACAGTAGTATGTCTGTGGACTTATAATGCTAGAAACCGGGTTTTGATAGCCATGGTGGCCATAGTGCAGATAGCCCATTGTGTAGCTTTGTGCTTAACTTCAAACAACAACAAATCATTTTATATTTGATTTTTGAGTTGCATTTGGAGGTTCAAATGGCATCAAGACAAGCTTTTTCTGTTGAGGAAGTAATAGCTATGTTCGCTGGGAGTTGGCTACCTTTATGCAGTCTTCTGGTTCACTGAATGATTGTCCTGTATTACTATGTGAGGGTATGTGACTTTGGACAGACTTTCCCTCCTCCTCCCTATGCCTCATTATCGTGTTTTGTTTCAGGAGAGGTGTCCAGGCCTACTTTTCCCTTTATCGACTTAATACTTCAGGTATGTGTATTTTTTCTTTGTTTCCCATTTCCTTTGATTCTTCTCCTAGCATCTCAGTGTTGCACTGATGGGCTAGTATCTAGTGTTTCAACTCCCTTACCAGATATTGGGGTTCACGTGAGTCATTTTAAGGACCAGTTTTGTTTGAGGGTTGGTATGATATGACCCCCACATACTTTGATAGACCATGCTTTGGCTTAGCACCATTCTGAGTTTCCCTCCTTAGACTCGTAACATTTTACTTGCTTGTTCCTTTGGGGATTCAGACTTCAATACTTTGGTTACTTTTTCAGCCTTCATTTTCCTGTTTTTCACCATGGCACACCTTTCCTCATCCACCCTTTCCTTGATAACGTGGCTTCTATGTTGATGGAACTTTTTCTGGGTTGGGCCACCCTTTTGTCACAGGTATGTTTGCCTCCCACCCCATTGCATGCTTTGCGCATGGCTCCTTTTCTGCACCAGGAGGTTTTTTGGGGCATTCCCAAGTTTTTGGTAAATGGAGTTGAGTTGGCATGGTTGCATATCTTCCCTTCCTCATTGGCTTCTCACTTTTCCCAACCCTTTCCTGAACCTGTTCCTGTGTTTTGTCCTCCTTCTTCCTCTCCTTTTGGGTTCCAGCCTCTCAGATTACTGTGGTTCACTGTCACTTATGTCACCTTCAATGGGCTTTGATGGACCAGTGGAGACTCCTTTGGTCCCTCTCTTCCTTCCTTACAGATCATCTTTGTCTGGTGGGTGGATCATGACAACTCCACTATTGGTGCTCCCCTTCCTCCTCTTTGACTGGAATGCCATCTTTTTATGGATGCTTCTCTTTCTGGTTGAGATCCTTATCTCAATGTTTGGGAGGTTTTCGGGTGATGGGCTCTGTCAGGGTCCTCTGTATACCAACCTCTTGGAACTCCTTGCCATTCATTAGGCTTTGATTCATTTCCTTCCAGACTTTCAAAGCTGGTCAGTGATGGTGCATTCTTACAGTTTGATAGTGGTCTTGTATATCTCCACGGAATGAGAAACTTGGTCAAGAGACATGTGTTTTCAGACACTGGACCTCCTGTGTTGGGCCAACAGCCACCAAATTCATTTGTTGGCTTATCATATTCCAGGTGCCCTGAATTTTGTCCCGGATCATTTATCACATCCTGACAGGATTCTCCCTTCAGAGTGATCACTGGACATGTGGGTGTTTCATGAGCTCTGTGCCCATTGGGGTATTCCAGAGCTGGATGCCTTTGCCACTCATATCAAATTCTCAGTTCCCTAGATTTTAGTCTTCTGTTCCACATCCTTTGGCTGGAGCAGTGGATGCAATCAATATGGATTGGTCAGATCTATACCTGTATGCTTACCCTCCCATTTGCCTGATTCCTTGGATCTATTCCATCATCCAGACCACTCTATGTTTAGCTCTATTATTGGCTGGCTCAGAGGTGGTTTCCACATCTGCACTGACTATTAGAGTCACCTCTTCTCCTTCTTTCCACCACCCTTCTTCGTCAACCTCAGTCTGGCATACATCATCCACCTGTTCCCACACTCAGTAATCATGTGTGGCTTTTGTCCTGGCCAGACTTTCACAGCATGTGACATCCTCGATTTCCCAATTCTTGATGTCTTTCTTCCATGTCATTATACAAAAGAAAGTGGTATACATCATTGGTCCATACATCATGGTTATCCTCTGTCCCATCTGACCATTCCCCACATCACTTCCTTTCTAACCTAGCTATCGCACAATTTTGTCAGCCATGTTTCATTTTACACATTATTCCCATGTTTTCAGTTTGTTGGTCCAGTCCCTTTTGTTTTGTTCCCTCCACATCACTTGTCCTCCTTGTCTTGCCTCTCTCCTGGATTGGAACCTCTATGTCGTCCGTCATGCCCATATTCTTCCCCTTTTGAACCCTTGTACCCTTGTTGACC